AAAGATCACTCCTACGAGAGGATATTGTTCAGGCTGAACCCCTATTCCGTCCTTGATGAATCATTTCTGCCCAGATTTCAGTATGATAATTTGGTGTATGGACCACAGATGCTTATCTCCTCTGCTTTTCCATAAGAAACATTTCTCATTTTCATCATTTGATAAAGCAGTCAAAATCAGCATCTAACTGTATCTGTGTGACAGTTGAAATCAGACTCAGGACTATGTGCTAGATTTGGCAGTGATTTAGAGGAACAGCCTAGCTTTGGCCTATATAAGATGTTAGATACACCTTATTTTATTCATGTTTCAGGATTCCAGAGCTCTTGTCTTGGCTAAAGGATTTCCAGCGGAATCTACATAATCCCCCCACAGCCAACTATAGCCCTGAGCAAGGACAAATGGAAGTGTGTGTCACAACTGGCAGCCAGGAAGGCTTGTGTAAAGTAAGACCAAAAGTTTCGTACGTTAAAAGCATTTCTTTCAGAGAGATGTTTATTCTTCCATCAGTTCAGTTATACTCAGCATTAAGTGCCACTGCGTAACTATATGCAGGGTAGTTTAAGTGTATGTCTCTCAGTATTATCTATACAAGATAATAGAACTGAAATAAAACTAATGTGGCAGTCTAATCTGTCAGGACACTGTGAATGTTTCAGTAAACCAAAGAGCCTGTCAGAAGATATGCTATAAGGTAACATTTCATGTTACTCAAGTAGCACACTAATAAGTACATAGGTGCATCATTTGCTTTACTATAACTCAATTCTAATTATGTTAGACCTCCTTAAATAATTACCCTTACCAGTCCACTCTCACTGCTGCTTAGTTGATCCTTTCTGTACCTGAAGCACGGTTTCTATTGTATAAGAGTGCTGTCTTCCCATTTGAAATTGGTATTCTCTAGCTGATTACCTAGCTTCATTTGGCTCTAAAGCAGATTTTTCATCTGTTCATTGCTTTTCTCACAGACAGCATAATTAAATGGTTACAGAATTACTAATATCTAATCAAGATTTTTTTAATCCCATTAAGTAGTCAGAAGTATGAAGCATGTGTACAAGAATGGCACAATCTTTCTAAAATAGACTCTCTTCTTTCACAGGTGTTTGAAATGCTCATTAATCCTGGGGACAACATCCTTTTGGATGCACCCACATACTCTGGGACACTAGCAGCTGTAAGTATGCTTTAGGTACAAAACGCTGTGAATGTTACATTTGAAGTAAGCAGCAATTTAGTACCTGATCTGCAGGCTTATACACACTGTCTGTATTTACTGTAAAAACATATCTAAGAATCAAGTTTTTAGTGTAAGGTAAGTTCCTAAATATTAACTCATAGAAGCTTTTCTACTAAAAGTTCTATAAAAGCTATTCCCAGGACAGAAGTTCCTCCTCCAAATCCTAGTTCATTCAAGGGCTAAGGTCTCATTTGGGGTTGGAAAGAAAGCCATCACAACCTAGTCAGGTTGAAGCAAATTTATAACAAATGGGTATTTTAACATCAGCACATTCACCAGAAGTATTCATGGTCTGATTATACCATAGCTATAAATAGTATAAAATTGGAACAGGCCTGAAACATCCATATATGAGCATGAAGATGTGAATTAGTAAGAACCGTACAAAAATAGCAAAGTTTACTTCTGGAAAGTAATTTAATCAGTATATAATTAAATGTCAGTTCAAAATGCATAAGAACTGTAGGAAGGGTTAGAATAGATAATACACCACAATTTCAATCTAGTTTCCCCTTGCCTGAAAAGGAATTTTGTTATTGTTTGCTCTGCTAAGTTTGAATATATCTTGCCTAATCAAATATAATCTGTTTGGAATATATTTTGACAATACAGCAACTTGCATTTTTACTTAAAAATGCAGAGGGCTACGTGATACAAATTGAAATTCCACAGAGGGGAGACAGCATGCTTTTTTGTCAGTATTTTACCTATATTTTTTCATACTGCTGTCAACATGTCATTGCAGTAGCATCATTTCATTCTCCCTTGTATTGCTGAATATATCTATTGAGAACAGATTCTTTGCCCTTTGTCAGTGAAGAGTGGCTTATAGTGCTGGCAATTCCACTGAAGTAGAGTGTAAATTGTCAGTAGGAACTCAAGGTGCGATGAACTTACTATCTGTGGTAAGAGCATGAGGAATCCTGAGAGAATACAGTTCAAATTCATGAAATCCCTTTCTGCTTGCAAAACCATGTGTGATTTCCTATAGAAGAGCAGCAATTGGACATAGGAGATACCCATTTCTTCTCAGTTGGTTTAACAGGGCAAATAATGTGGTAAGTTTGACAAGTTCACAGGAAATTCAGGCAAACTTTTCTTTTGAATCACGAGCAAATGGAGTTTGAGATAGCTATAAAGTCAGAAGGACTTTGTATCACTGAAATTTTACAATGCCAATGACAAAAGGAAGACCTTTGAATTACAGGATTATGACAGTTTTGTTCCTCCTATCAACAGCTGAGACCTTTGGGTTGCAACATAATCAATGTTCCTAGTGACCAACATGGCATTATTCCAAAAGCTCTAAAAGAAATTCTGTCTACTTGGAGCTCAGAAGACATAAAAAATCGTAGCCACCACCTCCCCAAATTCCTGTACACTATTCCAAATGGCTGCAACCCAACTGGAAACTCTCTGACCACAGAGCGCAAGAAGGAGATTTACCAGGTATGTACCTGGGCCCTTGTGTACCTTGTAGGTGGAAGTGGATACATGTCAGTCTCATTTCAGTTGAGGGTACCCCATGTGTGGTGTTTGGGCCCATTATTGGTCTAGTTCCTCCCAGAGCTTGTTTTAGCAGAACCTCTTTCATGGCAACTGTTCAGAGGTAGACTGTGCATTAGATAAATTGTTTTTGCAATAGTAGCCCATTACTGACTGGTCTCTTTGCCATGGGCTTCAAACCAGACATATCAAGTTTTCTGTACAGTTTAAGCACTACATGGAACAGACCTTCAGTTATAGACGTGTCCTTCTACTGCAGGTACCATGTTTCCTCTTATAATTGCTTGACATCTAAATTGGACATTTGAAAGCTTCTCTTGATAGGGCCTTGTATATAGTGAATGAGCAATCCGTAGGATCATAATATGGCCCTGGTAATAGGCCCAGGCTCTAGGAAGAACTGAATTTACAGTGTCTTTACATTTTAACGAATCTTTACTTTTTATTCATTTCTTTAGCTTGCAAGAAAATATGATTTCCTCATAATAGAAGATGATCCTTACTACTTTCTTCAGTTTGAAAAGGTAATTTGTCTTCCATACTCCTTAGTAACATAATCTTTTCTGGTCCAGGACAGAACTAAGGTTTGAGCCATGGATCTTTGTGCATGCTCCTTCTTCATGTCCTACCAAGTTAGTTGTAGGCCTAACAGTCTATGCTACTTTCAGTTGTTGTCCCCTTTGTGTGGCATTTTATTACATCAGTCCTGTTAATCGTGGTTCAAATTCCTCAAGCCTTATACAAGACAGAATTTCCATCACTAGTCAGAAAATGACAAAGACTTGGCCCCCAGAGCAAAACAAGTATGCCACTGAAGCAGCACTTGAAAATAGCAGCCTTTTAATGTTCCTTTCAGCCTAGTCTCTTCTTTCATTCAGTTTAAGACTGCCTACTCCTAATCTACGATATCCCATTTTTGCCCCTTTGCCCTTTGGAGAACCCAAGAGTTCTCCCAGATACCAGAGGAAGTAGTACTGGATAGGCAGCTTCCCTTCTTCACATAAATTTTCCCCAAATGGGTAACAATCAAGTGTTGACCTGTCTTCACAGATGGATCTACAGTTGCACACAGTCTGCAAAAGTACCTAACTTCAGGAATAAAAGCTGGTCTTATAAAGCAGTAAAACACTGGTAGAAGCTAAAGTTCAGTATTTTCTATTTTGAAATAGTTTTTATGGGAGGAGGCAAGAAAACTGCTTCACTTACTCATTGAATAGCATTGTGTAACTTTGTTAGAAAGTGTAAGGGGAGAAGGTGTAAAAGTAGAATTCCTGATATGGAAAAAGTGTGCTGAACTCAGATCATCAAAATTTGGTCATATCTTGGTTTCCTTTAAGATAAAGCTAAAAGCTACAAGGTCCCATCTTAGAAATATCAGTATCTTTCTGTTTACTCCGTAAAAAAATCTTGGCAGAGAAATCATTATTTCTCTCCTACTTACGGCATCATACCAAAACTTGAACCGAACACTAGTATGCTGAACAGTGGGCTAAGCATCAAAACATAACAAGGCTGATTTCATGATTAGAATAAATATTCTATGAAAGTCATCAAATCTTGGACAGCTAGCCTAAACAATCACTTGTCAGCAAGTTACTGCATTTTTTTTCCTCGGAATGTGCTTCTGTAAAATATTTACTATCAAAATATTTCTTTAAGAAATCAATTATGTCTTCACAGTAAAGAAAATAACTCCATCATAATCGTTACTAGCACCTTGAATTTTATTTTTTATTTTTCTTCCAAGCCATGGGCTCCAACTTTCCTCTCAATGGATGTGGATGGCCGAGTTATCAGGACTGACTCTTTCTCTAAAATTCTCTCATCTGGGTAAGGCCAGCTTCAGACTGCTCAGCATTGCCTGTTCAGTTAAGGCACAAGGCTAATACTTCATACAAAACAATCAGACATGTCATAGTGTTTTTTCATCTAATACCTATCCATTTCTGGAATGTACTTTTGGATCCATGGCTTTTCTCAGTCTGCTCACTTCTCATGTCATCTCTGGGCAGCCATTTAACTCCAGATTCTGTTTCTCTTCTGGTACTGATAGTTAAGCCGCTCTCCCCAGGCAGCCCATTCTTGCAGACACCATATAGGCAGAAAGACAGATGCTGGATTCCAGCTCTGTTCCTGGAACTCTTAGGAGCTTTTCTCTTCTTTTTCTATTTCTCCTTCTATCTCTTACCATTCCTGCAGACTCCATGAAGTTGTAATACAGCAGAGAAATGATGGCATCATTCTCCACAAACTATTCATAGGGTTATACTGATCTCTCATCATCTAGCCTGACAGTTCTTTCAGGTTGTTTCCACCTGCCTGAAAAACTAAGCTGGCTGTTTTCCATTTCACACATACTTGATTTTTAACTTGCTTTTGTTTACTATTCTAATAGATATAAGAAAGTAATATGAATTCTGCACTGGCAGCTAGTGGATTATAACCCCATCGCTGAGAAAGTGAAGAGGCAACATGATGCTAAAGTTTCAAAAGTGGTACTGCAAAAAGGCATGATGCAATTTAATCTTTGGCAAAGACGCATATGAGCTTACTGGTTCTATTTTTCTTCAAAGAAAAACTTCAGCCAATCTGTAAAGATGCATCATAAGCATTGAAGCATGAATAAGAATCTGGTTTATCAGTCTAAATTCCTTTTACTCTGCAGTACTGAAAGGAAGTGAAAGCTGTTTGCCACTTCCCATCTGTTTTTCATAAAGCCTGAGCATTCATGATTTTTCATTATGTGAAAACCTATCTTTCCTTCCCTTTGATTCATGTAATCTTTACGGTTGCAGAGGAAAGCTTATAAATGTGGGATATGTCCTGAAGTCTCAGAACTAAGAAGCAACCATAAGCATTAAAAACCCTTAAATATTTTTATTTCATGACTTTGATGCTCAGCTCATAAGTTGCATAAACCTGGGGCTTGGGGCAGTATTAAGATATAGATAAGCTTAAACACATAAAAGATCTTTACGATATCAATGAAATGGTTACAGGTTTTCCTAGTTATAAGTTAAGCCATAACTCACACAAAGTATTAGCACATTGCATTTCTGTAGTAACTTTTTTCTTTTTTCCCTCTAGGTTAAGAATAGGTTTTCTGACCGGTCCCAAGCCTCTTATCGACAGAGTTATTCTACACATTCAGGTTTCAACAATGCATACCAGCACTTTCACACAGGCAAGTACCAAACTGCCAACTGAATTGTATTTAGGGAAGATAGCATTCCAAGTCATAAGAAACCAAAACCAAACAGCTTTGCACTTTTGCAGTTGCTCTACACTCTTGCAGTTTCATTTATGATAAGCACAGACATTGTCAATTCTGCCAAAAGAAGAGAGACCACCAAAGAAATTACAACCAGAGCTAGAGGGTGTCTCAGTGCACAGAAAGCACAGCTAATATGCCCTTAACCCTCAAATTTCAAGAACTAAGATTTAAAATACTTTGTATCTCTTGCTAGTAGGTTCACTTGAAAAACCTCAATGTAAAGCATACATTGGAAGCACTTAGTTTTTTTCTGTTTTTCATTCTACTTTGTAATTAGAACAATACTGGCAGCCCACAGAGACAAAAGCAGGCTGCCAACTACAGTTCCCTTATAGCTAGTAATACGGAAAGGAGACATATGATTCTGTTCTATGGTTGAGCACATCTAAATATGGCTTCCATCTTCCAGCTCCATTAGTCTATCCTAGAGGCAGTATTAAAGCAGAGAGGCTGACATGGGCAGGAAGGTAAAGCAATAGAACATTGCCTTCCTTTTTCTCCCTGATTACCATATTTAGCTCTCCATCTATTCTTCCCTCCCCCCACCCCAGCTACCAAACACTGCCATGATCCTTGGAGACAGCAGTAACATGGACTACAATGGCCTGTTGCTGTTGCCACTTCTGTTTATAAAGGGCTCCAAGAGACCCCACGTGCAATTTCTTGCCTGTGTGAATTCTGAATAATGCATCAGGCTATATATCTTTTGATGACTGCGGAACAGTCCTGTTGAAAATACAGTATTGATAATGTGTTTTATTTCTTTAGATTATGATATCACAGCTGCTTCAGCAATGGGGAGAAAAGGGTTTCTTGGAGCATATAGACAGGTAGGGTCATGTCATATGCTGAATTCCATCATGTGTCATTCTGTTCCTTGATACCTACACAAAACATTCTTTGCAGTAAACAGGTCAGAGGAGGTGCATCAGTATTAGGCCAAATGGATAAGCGAGGTCACCAAGACTGACAGTGTTCACAAGACTCCCGAAGGAGCTCTGTGTGAAGTTGCAGACACACAGGTCAAGGCATGTAAACTACCACTACAGACCAACAATCTGCCAGTCCACTGGCACAGTCGTTATGCAGCTCCCATCTGAAGGGAAGTCAAGAAGATCCTGGGAGCTCCAACTCAGTGAATAAAGTCTTCATCCCTGCTAAAGCGGTAGGGTCTGTAGCAAAGGCTAAGATCACTGAACACAAATTGAGAAAGAGTCAGCAGAGCTTCTCTAAAGGGAGTACTTGGCTCTCTAATTCATCAGGGATTCACTCTAACATCCATAACCTAAGGATTGTGGATGCTGATGGAAGGAACTACAAAGAGTAGTGAGGTTCACCTACACTTGCTAAACATTGCCTCTATCACCACTGTTGGAGACAGAGCACTGGGATAAGGTCTAACTCAGCAAGGCATTTCTTACATACTGACTGGCACACATTTGTTTTCCATTTACTATGCTGAAGGAGCATAGTTTCTCTTGAGTATCCATGCTTCATTTCAGATGCCATACTTTCATGCCATTAGAACCCCAAGCTTCCTACTTCAGTGGGGAGCATGCTACACTCTGCAGAGGCCTGTAACAGGAATGTGAGCAAAGCATGGAAAAAGTTCTTATATCTGACTGTAACAGCCACTTCCATCCTCTCAGCACCTGCCTGTTGTCCATATGGTAAACACTAGTATTTAAAAAAAAAAAAAAAAAAAAGGAAAAAATCCCAGCCCGGGCTTTCCTTTT